TGTTTCTTAAGCTAGGAGCGGTCCTGAAAGGGCGACGAATTAAAACCGTAAAACAGCAACCCGCTCTTAGGAATAAGGTAAAACAAAAAACAGCCAGTGTAATTTTAAATAAACTACAACTTCTATAGTCTTACTTTCAATTGCGCCGTTATTAAATAGAGGAGAAAAATATAAATTCTTCAGAAGGGGAGAGGGGGGGGGAGGTATGGGATCGCTCTTGGGGGGTCAAGTACCCCTGTCATAAAGGATTATGGCTATAATACCCATTGCTCTTTGAGTATGGTAATTTGCATTTTTTTTTAAATAGTACTTTTTACAAAATCGATAACATTTCAAGTGCATTCAGCGTTTCCTGGAATAGTAAATTATGTGCAAACAGAACCATTTCTGCTCCCACGGAATAGTCCCTCACACAGTTTCTACCAAGAACCAGTTTATAAAGCCTAATACATAGGCGCCTTATAAATTGATCTTCATAACATCGTGGAGTAGTTAAAGCAGGTCTTGTGCGGTATATCTCTTACTAGATAAAAGTTACTCACTTTTATTTTAAATTACCTTTTAACCTACATCTTCTTCGAACGATTTCGTTTTAAGTTGTCAATATTTGCAATTACAAAAAAGTCTTTTTTGGCTGTGAATAGTGATTTTAAATTTATTTGTAGTGTTCATACTAATATTAAAATAACAATTTATCCAAAATAACAGTTTCGTAAAATAAATATTGAAAGATTTTCGTTTTAATTTAATTACATTGTGCTATATATCGTAGAGGCTGACTTGTGAATTAAAACATATTCCATGATTTAATATAAATAAATAGAAAAAATTATAATAATCTCAAGTTGGAATGTTGTACAGCGATTGTACGATTTAAAAAAAGTGAATAGTTGTAAAATGAATTAAAAATAACATTGACCATCTTACCCATGTTAATTGCACAAATATAGTTTAGGTAATTGATTTGTTCCTTTTTTAAACCTTAATTTTATTGTTTTTTTTTTTAGAAACAGTTTGGTTTTATAGCATCGATACAGTACAATTGGGACACAGACAATCACTTTAAAGCCTTAACCAGAAGATGCCGTGAAGATCATAGATCAGACTTTAAAAAGAACATTTTTTTTTTCTATTCAACGCCTATGCGGTTGTCAGTGAGGCCATTTGGCTTCTGGGAGCTCAATACAGCTTTGCCGTATCACACTCTTCAATTAATGGTATGGCTTCCATAGCACTTCAGGAATATTATTATTGAGGTCCGATAGAGCGGAGCACACTGGAAGGTGCAGGACGCACATCTCATCCTCTCGGCACGGAAGGCAAGCACAGCTTTCCATGACTCCAATCATGTGCAAATGTCTTTGAAGGTAATCATGTAGTAAACATGCTATCGAGACTTTCCTACCTTGAGTTTCTGTAATTGGCCCATTACCCATCTTCTTCCTGCTGCTTGCTTGCCAACTCCCACCCACTTTCTTGTAAAAAGGGTTTTAAATCCTGTTAACCAGAGTCGTAGCGTAGTGGAGGATTGGTCTGCGACATTTCCGAGGCGATCCGTGCGAGCTTGTTCGTTTCCTGGTAGACCACAATGGCTTGGAACCCATTGGAATGTAACTCGGAATTATTTAAAAGAAACAAAAAAACTAACAAGTTAAAAACTACTATTGATAATTATTAATGTCAATTGAAGCTGCTCATTAGTCAAAATTCATGCAGTAAAAAATAAGGGAAGTATACAGGAAGTAACAATAGAACTTTTTTGAAACTCCAAATAAACTGATTCAGCCCTTTCGATTAAATGCTCTAAGTGAAATTGTAGACACACCACTCTGCTTCACAAATGATGTATTAACCAAGGATTTAGACATTTTATCACAATTTTCATTATTAAAAAAATAAATAAATTTTGCAGCCTTGAAATTTGCCATCTACAATATTTTGGAATAAGCAAATCTGTACTCATTTACAGGTATGAGTTAAGTTAAAAAATCTCTTGAGCACCGTATTGAAATTTGTCAGGATGGGATGTAATCCGTACATGGTCGAATCAAATGTCTAGGCCTCAAGCTGTAAGTCAGTTTTTTGTGGCAGTTTTTATCGTATTATGTTGCAATATTATCCTGTTCACTCGGCAAACAATCCAAATTATCCTTAACTAACAAACTTGCCATCTATAAATTAGTTTAAAAAACTTTATGGATTAACGAGTTGGACCTATTGGGCACTGCGAAAACTTCTAATATCCACACTAATATCCTCAATTCAATCAAAAGTTTTGAGAAAAATGGCGTTCTATGTATCAAATGACACAATGATTCGGACATCCAAACGATTTCAAATAAAAAATGCAGAGGGTTTGATTATTTACTCTGAAGTAACTTTGTAGTTAAATAACCACAGAAAGACTGTATTCATAAGCCATAACGTCCTATCCTCCTGCTGCTATCTGTTCCCACAGTCATCTAACGAGACAAAACAGCCCACTGTTGATAGAACAATGAGGTTGATTAAGAGAGCATTACTTTATAATAGACACCGTGGCGGTCCTCAGGCTGAGGCACACCGGCTAACCGCAAGAGAACAAGAAGAAGAAGAAAGAGGAGGAGATAAAGACGAGGGAGGAGGAAGAACAAAGACCGTAACGGTGCGAGGGAAAGGTGTCCGATAGCGGTGATTAATGTCCTCATTGCCGAGCAAATTTATGTCAGCTCTCATGCCGCTTCTTGAGGGGCCTTCTTCAGCAATCCTCTCTCTTACCGTCGTCGATAATTGCGATGGACGTCGCTCGGCGCTGCATGTCCATGCCGTGATCTATAGCCACCTTGTTAATAGATTAGAGATAGAGTATTAAGTGACAGAAAAAAAAAATCATGACGAGTAAAACAAACAACAAACTATACTTCACTTTTTGTTTTGACTACAAAACATCCAGATATGAATACCAAATACAATCCTTCTTTTAAAACTGAAATAACATCTTCTGGTCAGTAAAAATTTTTTCCAACCATCTGCAGGTAATAATTAACATTATCAATACACATAGATTTTTATACTTTTTCTTAAAAAAAACCTTTCATGTACGTAACTCTACTTATTATAAACAATTGATTAGTATCTTATTGAGTCTTCTATTTGATATTCATTATTAATGTCGTATTAATTTGTTCAGATAAAAATTAAATTGTCCTGCTATTTAAGAGTTTCCCCCACGTCATTTCTGGAGGTACTGACTTATGTTGTTCTGATGGGGATAGTCAAAGGGAGAGGGGTTTTCCTTCTATTGTTTTGCAATGGTGGATCATTTTATCTAATTTATGATTTTTATATTGCTTTTAAATTAATTATTGTATTATATGCGAATATTGTTAATTACATTTGCTTAAAAGGTATTTATATTGTCCACATCTGTATGGTTATTAACGGAACTCTTTAAATTTTTAGTGATATACACTAACTCTGTAATTTTTCTTTTGTTGTTACTATTTTCCTTATATATTATTTTGGCATTTTTAAAATGAAATAAAATTTTTCCAACCATCTGCAGGTAATAATTCGATCTTAATACTAAATTCACTAATAGCCTAGACGAAATATTATCCCACAAAATACATTATGAGTCAAATATAAAAATTGAAAGCATTCATCAAGTTACATAATCTATCATCGACACAAATGACCTACAACATGACAACATCTCAGTAATCGTCAATCGGAGTAGTTTATATATTTATTTCACTTTTCAAAATATAACATCATTAACTTTCCAAGAATAAATTAAGTATAAAATAATTGAAACCGATGAAATTCCTATAAAAGATTTTTTTTTTTTTTAAACAAGTTTATTGAATAGTAATACAATCTTGCACATTGACCACAAATACATCAATTACATTCATAAATTTAAAGAAACTAATTATATATTTTTATTATAATAAATTTATAGTTCATTATAATTGTCACAAGGAGTTTGCATAATTTATAAATCTATGTTTATTTATCCAGCAGATGTCGTTTTTTTTCTTCTTTCTTAATTTTCAATTATATATTGAATGTTCAGATTCCTTTTTTCTTTAGATTAAAATAAAAAAAACAAAATAATAATAGGAAAGTAGAAAGGTCTATATAGTGATTATTACTTTCTTTTTTATCCTTGAAATTCACAAGTGTATAAAAATAAGTGTACTCCTAGTAAATGTGAAACAGTACAAAACTTGTAGAGAAACTACCTATTGGTAACACTCTAATAAAATTTCTAAATCAGGAGATCACGAGTCCATCTTCATTTAAGACCCCTCGGAGAAGAAGATCAAAAATGGAAGAAGGTTAGAAACGAGAGGATTAAGGTTGATATGAAGTTTATTGCGAAAGAAGAGTTACATAGATTAGGCCAAGTTTGATTAATATGGAACATTAAGGTCTTTACAGATTATTTTATCTGTGACAAAGTGAGGAGCAGTTACGAAGGATGTTTTATTGTGAGAATCGCTTACGAAAGGAATCGGATGGTTTAGTGGAATCCCAAAGCTCAACTCCGTAAGTCCAAATAGGCTTTTTTATAGTCATATATTTGAGTCTTTCATAATGAATTGGAAGCATAGTGTTTGTCTAGTGAGCGTTGGAGTAGTCGGAAACGTTTCTTGTAATTCCAGCCTTATACGAGGATTCCAAGTGAAAGGTTTGTCCAGGAGTTCTAGGTATAGTGATTATTAGTGGTGCGAAGTACTGAAAGCTTTTAGCAGTTTAAGCAATGGGCAGGAGACCGTTTGAAGTGTAAAGTTCTGTATTTGATTAACTATCTTTTAGAAAAAAATTTGTACCGCGACTGCCCATCTTTTTAATTTTTTCTGAAACTGACAATTTAAGATAAAAGTTGTAAATTATTTGATTAATGATCCTATGTTCGCCAAATTTCAATTCTTTATTTTTTATTTTGGGCACCGAACCTTAGACCCGACGATAACTCACATTGAGTTGAAGGGCACAGACAACAGGTGGTGCGGATGTGGTGGCTCAGCGAAGGTGACCACAACCGCATCATCACATCCCCGATGAATCCTTATTCGATTTCAGGAGCAGCTTTCTTCTTGTTCGGTGGTCAGTGCGGTTAGCTACGTCTCCTTTAAATTGAATCTTTTTTTCGCAAAAAACCGGTAAAGTATTCTGAAATTGTTGGCTGATTGAATATAGTTATGGCCAGTGTCCACTGAATTCAATGCGGAACCAGGCAGAATAGAGTGTCTGCGAATACATTTCCATAATATTACGGAGGAATGATTGAATGTCATTGCCCCTTGTACTTGGATCGTCAGCGATTTTCATACTTTTTATTATCAGAATTATATATATATATATAATATATAAATTATTATAAAAAAAATACACTAATTATTTTTAAAAAAAAAATCATTTGGAATGGTTTCTTGTACAATTTAGTACAATATAATACAATATAACACAAATATAATTTATTAATTGCTAAAAAAATTTAGTTATTTAAGATTATTCTGAATGACCTGATATTCAACGGTAGGTTGGAGGCCCTAGACTCGAATGGGAAGACTGCGTTGCTATCAATGCATTATCGATACTTGGCATTCCCAACTGAAAGGGAGCAGCACAAAACAGAGATGACTGGCGGTCAATGCTGGAGCAGCCCATGAATCAGCATGTGGGCCGTAGAGCCATATAATAATAAAGAAAGATTATTTTGAAAATCAAATAAAGGGGATGTTGCGTCAGTAGTAGACCGAAAACTAAGAAATGACTACTTTAGAATAGGGACAAAGAACTGTTTTAAAACGAAATTAAAAATCTAAACATTGTCCATATATATGTGTATTCTTCATGACTACAAGGAGTCAGATCAAAATAAAATAACAATAATGTTAAATGGTTATGATATCAATCTAAACGATAGTGACCACACTTTTCCTCACCATAGGCCTGACACTCCAATAATAAACGAAGTAAATCAAATAACGTTTATTGTACATAACCTCCATTATAGGATAACCTTCACAAGCCACTGGTGAAAAAAGTATGGAAATGCCAATTGACTTGAAACAAATACCTAATTTAAATGGAATCCAGATTAATAATTGTAATTTCATACAACCGCCTGATACAGGAAGAATCTCAATATTTTTGACGGGAAATGGAACTGCCGTTCATAACAAACAGGATTCTGTAAAATCCGATAATTTTAAATGTATATTAGTAAAAAAATTTTAATGAATTATTGAAGGAAGCTAGTCGACTGTTCTACATATCTTGGGTGATAAATATTCAGGACGCAGTTTTAAAAAAAATTTAATTTTTTATTTGTGCCAACGTTTCAACCCAAACATGTGGGTCGTCTTCAGGGAGTGGTTCGAGCACTGAAGGCTTTCAAGTACTGGAGTAGATGACCCACATGTTTGAATTAAAACATTGGCACAAATAAAAAATTAAAAATTTTTTAAAACACGGCGTTCTGAATATTTATCATCCCAAAAAAAATTCAATATACATAAAAATATATTAATAATTATTAATAAAAAAAACTATTATGAGTTATAAAAAACATTTAATGTGTAAAAGAGGTAATACTAATAAGAATAAATCCAGAAAATCCAACTAATAAAACACAGAAAATCCAGATTACTTATCACTCAATAGTCAACTTTAATTCACCTATAAAATACAAAAACCCTTTAAATTTCTTGATATTAGTGATTTATCAGCAGAAAAAATTGATTACTCAAAGATACTAGATTTTATGAGATTCTAGAGAACTCGATAATTTTTGTATGTTTGTTTCTGCGGGTCTTAATCTTTTAAGAGATTAAAAGATTTAAATGATGAGGGATTGATGACAAAATATATGATTCAATTGGGTACTCTCATGAGTTTTCAATTCTAATTTGGCGGTAAAGAGTAGCTTATAAGTATAAACATGCCAAAAGTTCCGTATTTTTTTCTGATGCATATTAGAAAAAAATAATCAGCATTAAAGATAATTTGTGTCAGGAGCTGCCGGCGCTTATATCATAGTCAATAAGAAAATAACTAATAATGGCATCTTTGGAAACTTTAAAATATAAAATAAGAGATTATTTAAAGTGTTTTTTGCAATAAAAAAAACATAAAATAGAGACAAACCGTAGAAGATAAAATACTAACGCAGATAATTACAGAGACTTAATATGTATTTCCTCAGAAAGATGGTAATTAAGTTATATATAAGGAAGCAGAGATTAAGTTAATGCACTTTTAAGGGGTAAGATTAAAAAAATATACTTTTTTCAAGTAAATAGTAATAGCTTGTGCAATAAAATGCAAATAGATCTCTCAATAAAACTGGCGTTCAGTTTATGACCATAATAGGACGTCTTTTCGATATCGACGATTTCAGCGATTACCAAAAGTAATAAAATGATTAAGTAAAAAGCCGTAGTAGGAAGCGGTTGGCATCAAGTTCTTATTTACTGCGTTAAGCGTAAAAAAGGATAGTCGAGTTCAATATATGGTAATATCAGTAGTTTCCATAAGACTCTAAAACAGATTTTAAATAGTAATACCTACCTACAAAAACTTCAAACCTTCCAATCAAAATTATTGTGATTCATAACAAAAGCACCATGGTACGTGACTAGCAAATTTCTACATACTGACCTCCACCTTCCAACAGTTGACTAACATATAACTGCCTTTTACCAACGATTTTATACTAATCTATTTTATACTAAGTGACATGGCCACAACTGACATACACCAGGAACATACTCAAATTCCTTAAACAACCTAAGTAATTGAAACAAGTCTGGGAAGAGAAGCTGATGAGTACTTTCCTTAGTCATGCCTGTATTTTATATTATATTGTATTTTCAGCATATTTGCAGATAGTCGACTAAAAGTTGATTGGCGCAAATAAATTTTTATAGCCAAAGAAAAATACTACAAGACGGAAGAAATATATTTTTGACATTATTTTCAATACAAGGATACTGAAGAAGCACAGAAAATATTATTTAAATAATACAAGAAGCAGATGAAAAGAATCATGAACTGTATAGACATCCGATGGGAATACGGATGAAAAAACCAACCACATTAAAATATTATTTTGTACAGAATTAACGTTGGTGTGAAAATAAATTTTAAATTTACAGAAAAGTATTCAAACTCTATTAGTCTGTGGTTCAAACACTATAGACTCCTTTTCATCCAATTAATAATACCCATATAACACTTTGTGAATACCTTCGTTTTATAGTAAATTACATTTTTTTTATCAGCAACAATTCTCAGGAATAGTTTTCCCATTACATAAATTAATTTAATGAGGTTATAAAAACTCATAAACAACCATGTGTTTTCCACTTGAATCGTAAGATAATTTTATCACAAAATCGATAAAAAATACAGCCTTAAAAAATAATGGGCCACTTCAAACTTCGTTATTTTGATGTTGCAGATGAAGGTCGCGCCAAATAGTCCAATATTTTTGTAGGACACATTGTAGATCAGATTTTTTGATCAAATTATCTTTCTATTCAAGCGGAAAGTAAATAGGTGCTCATGAGGTTTTAGTTTAGTACCTAATTAAATAGACAAGTTTTCCGATCTCCAAATTAAAAATGCTTCAATTCCGAGAATTTTCATAAATAATAAAAATTGTAGGTTGTGATGAGATAAAGTTATTCAGAGAGTGTCAGGTTAATAATTTGATAAAAAGGGTACTACGGACTATAATTACTTTTATTTTTTAAAAATATTTTATCTGTTTTTTTAATTAATAAATTTTATTCTAATATTTTTTAATTTTTATTTTGAACTTGAGCTTTGACTAGGAGCAGGTTCTAACTACTTAAATATATATATTTTCTCTATAGGAGAGAAAAAAAAAGGTATAACCGCATTAAGCAAATCGGCCAAGAAAATTATGATAAAACTAAATACATGATAGTAAGGAGGAAATTCTCTACCAGCAACAGGATTTGCGTTAAAATTCTTACCGAGAGTAAACAAATTCAAGCTCAGCACCACATTAACCTCAATGAATAACCCACTGTTAAAAATAAAACAGTGTATACTAAGCTACACAAAGAGCTTTCTTCTCTCTTTCAAAGGTTTTGGGGTATTCTAAAAAACCTAAAATTTCAAATTAAAGGTGTACAATACCATGCTAAAGGCAGTACGGCTGTGCGAGCTGGGCACTAATCAGCACCCTAAAAAAAAGGCATTGAATGATTTGAGAGGAAAATCCTTTCTACAATGACTGGAACGGTCGGAGGTTAAAGTATTAACGCACAGAGAAGGAACAATAAAGGAACGTATATGTGATATATGAGGTCTATGAGGCCAACAAAGAAAAAGAAATAATAGTTTCTTAATTTTAATATTGTATTTGGTTCGACTTACTTCTATCTTACTTATAATACCTGTTTTTGTTGTTATCCATGTATTTATTTTTTTAAATGAAAATGTATAATCATATCACTGTTACATATTGCTCAAGATTTAAATAAAATACCTTAATGTGAGGGAAATAATCACAGATACTCACAAAAATGGAAATATTTCCAGTTAAAAGCATCTAATTTTAAAGAAAAATTCCTTAATTTCTAGTCAAGACAATGGAATAAATTTTAGATAATTATCAATTATCTTCTTCAAATAACATATGAATCTATATATAACAATGTTATATATATTTATAACAGAGTTATATAGAATTAGTCTTGGAGCTTAAATAATATCTGAGTAAAGGCAGTACGTTTGAAAGAGTTTTCTGGCTGTCTTTGATAAGAGGCACAGCTGTGGAGCTTACCGCTATATAACAACGTTTGCAGAGATCATTTCCTCTGCTTTCCCGTTATACTGCGAACTCCCCGTGCAACTCCATGTAACTGCTAAGACCGAGTGGAAAATATTGTACAGGGTAAAAAATGAGACCACTTCTTTTGAAATATCAAAATGCGTTTGACTGCATTTGCGTTTTTTGATGGACTGACAAAGAAAAGGATTTTTAAATGGAAAAACTATGACTAATATTGTATAATTTTAATATATAGGTGAGAATGAGCTTTAGAAGAATTTTATTTATTTATTAAATCTTTTGTTTTCTATTTATTTATTTTATTTTTTTATTATTATTATTATTTTCCTTTGATTAGTTTGATTTATTTTTATTGTATGAATCTTGAATAAGAGAATACTTTTAGCTTTAATGCTTATTGCCCTTGAGTGTGGTAGATTGTGTTAATATTCAATAAATAAATACAAAAAAAATATTGTATAATTTGAATAACATAAATATCAGAACAACATTTCATTAAAACTGCTATTTCTATATTAGAAGATCATATTTTATTATGACTATAAGAAAGAATTTCTAAATAAAAATTGTTATTTATAAAAAAATAAATAAATTGATATTAAAATGAACGGTGGCTTTGATTTCATCATCAGATAAGGACTAAGAAACCAGCAATCAAGATTTACAACGGGACAAAATAGCTGATAAAAATATTGTTAAAGTTAACTGTATCTCCAATAATTGAAAACTATTGAACTATTAACCCACAGGATTAGTTCAAACTTTAAAATGAAGAATCTGCTGTTTTCATAAGTATTTTTTACTTATTATTACCTCACTATTTGTTTATTCTAAAGAATTTCTAAAAGAAAATGAGGTCGATTTATCATCGTGAATATACGTAACACGATTTTATTACAAAGTGAAAAAAAAAAATAAAACCCAAAGGTTAAAGAACATGAATTGAGTAGTTTTATAAATTGCCGAATAAGTAAGTTTTAGACTTTTTACTGTATCGAAATGTAACATGTAATATATTTTATAAAATTATTCATGTTATACCAAAAGATTAATCTGAAATCTACGTACTACACTTTAAATATAAAATCTCAACGGTCATCATTTTCGTCACAACGAAATAAGCATCTGATACTTGAGTCCAAAGTCCTTCCAAAAATAGATATTTCTCCACTTCATTTACATTCTTAATTGGAGATTTCCTGAGATTCTTCGAGATTTTAGTACCTTTGAAAGAGTGAGGAAAGTTTTGTTAACGCAATTGTGAATATAAGTATGGAAACCCTAGAAATATCTATTGAATATTAAATTTACTCAAGTACTAAGCGGTTCTATATTTCTACGTAACTTTCTTTGCTTACGTTGCTTTCTCCATTAACAGTCAGGTTTTGAAAGGTGTTTTCAAAAAAATAAACCCGCAATACACTTTTGAGAAAAAAAATAATTATTATAATAGTGATTACCGAAAGGATTAATAAGATTTATTGCCCACTGTAACAAGATGCCTTTTATACGATAACAATAGTTATTATTCCTTGCACAGTGACAACAAAACGTCATAATTTGAATACAAACAAGACCCCTTTTAGGAGTGGAGTTGAAAGGCAAGAATAGCCTGGAAGAGTACGGCCGGGCCTCTATTCAATTGGGGAACATTTGCATGGTACTATGGGGCCGTTGTACCTGTTTCGTATAAATTTAAATAATTCGACAGAGGAGCCCGGGGGTTCGGTCGCGGAGGATCCCCTTCGCCCTCGATCTGGATATTATCACTAACGGGTTCACACCTACATGAGCATATCAAGCCATGTATTAGCATAGGAGATCACAGCGGCGTCGAGGCCACAGTGCAGACACTTGGTGTGTGCTCAGTACGGTCATCGCGAGGGCCTATAGCGGTCAGCGAAGTGATTGTGCAGATCTAGTCAGCATTCGATGTGCCGTCGCCTATTGAAGGTTCCGCACCCACCAGCTCGACCCAAGAATGCTGTTTGTCTTAGGATATAAAAAAGGATATCGAACATGCCATATCTTATACAGTTACACCAACACACCCACAACATCGATGCATAAATTGTAGTAATAGGAATTGACATGTTATGAAAACGTAATGACCGAGCGATTTCATCCAATTTTCTAGATCCTAAGATGGTATGCGTATTTGTTCTTGTAACGCCACAAGTGTTGCCCAAATGCGAGACCGAGACAAGTCTTGGTCTTGCAAACTCAGTCTTGGTCTTGCGCAAAACTCTCGTAATAGTCTTTCAGTTACCTATTAGCTTATTACTAGAGAGATATTACTGTAATTTTTTAGGTATGAGAAACCTAACTAAGTCTGAATGAAAAATTAGAAGAGTTAAATGCAAAAGTATTGGTTACACCAATTCTTTACTAAAATTGTCAAATATTAGTAACTATTTTGTCTCAATTTTTATTCAAAAAATTGATTTTTTTTACCAGTCTTGGTCTTGGTCTTGCAACAGATAGGCGGTTTGGTCTTGGTCTTGACCAATTTGGCAAAGACCAATTTTGGGGAACACTAAACGCCACTAGAACGTTCCGCAATATTTCAATGAAAATCAATTAATAAGGAATCCAGTTTTATCCAGAAAGTAAGCCAATTTTATTCCAGAAACGCTACTATGAATCAATAACGCTGTAAATTGGAATAGTTTCGTAACTTCCTTTACTTACTCGATGCTCAATCAACACTTTAACGCGTTTTCTGGCCGTTGTTTAAGATACGAAGAAATGTCATATTGTCCTAACAACAAAATTTCCTGAAAGGAGTCATTTTCGTTGAGTTTCAGAAAAGTATATCTTTTTGACGGGAAGTTCAAGTGGAGTTTTAGGAAGAATTTTGCATGTCACTATAAGTTATTCAAAAAAGTCAGGTATTACTTGTGGCTTGACCTTCTTACCCTTGCTTAAGGTAAAAAGTATGCAGAATAATAAATCCATACTTCACTAGTCGAGTCGAGAGGTCTTCAACTCGACTTTGATTAAGCTCTTTATATCGATGCACAATTTAATTTAGATCTTATCCTCAGAGAGGCCTTGAATACCGAATTTTCAAACTGGCTTCTTTAGGTTTTCTGTAAAGTATCTTAAAGTTAGATTATTTGTAAGAATTAACCGACTCTCGTTGCCAGAAGTAATAAGCACTACACTAGTTCAAAATATAAAGGATTTTGAAAATTAGCTAGAGGAGAAATAAAAAGAATAATATTTTTTCAAGCTGAAAACAAATTTCTGATATTAAGAGAAGAAATGCAGAAAATACCGTTCCAAAGCAAGTTAATAAATAACTTAAATATTGTTGTTAATAATTACTACTATTTTTTATTAATAATCATAAAATAAGTGATTCCACGTAAATTAAATGAATTTGCCAAAGATATCAATTGGTAAGTTTTTAATATTTCCAGGACAAGCATTGAAAATCGATTTTTTTAGCGTCAAAACATAAACAAATGCTAATCCTGAGTTATAATATTAATAATTTTCTTGAAAGAATTATAAGCCAATTAAAAAAAGTACATACCATAAATGAGTTCATATCATAAATATCCATTAAATCACTCACCTGAAACAAAATAAATAGAATTAATTACAAATGTATTATTATTAAAATATGATTTTTTTCTTATTTAAGAGAACAAGAATATGTCATTATTGTACATTTTTAATATTATTATTTCTTTTATTTAACTTTTCTTGCTAAACTAATTATAAAACATTATATTGTATTGATACAAAAATTGTAAAACATATATTTGAATTTAGAATACTAATAAATTCTGTACCTCCGAGGTAAACAATTTATTAGTTAAATTAATATCTAAAGCGCAAAAGAACAACATTTAATTACATCGAAGAGTTAATGTTGTTTATATTTTAATTTAAAATTTATTTGGAAAAAAAGAAAAGGATTATACAGACTACAGTAAACCTTGTTGAATTCGAAGTTGAAGGAACTATGGTAAAATTTAAAAATGTTTAAATAAACAAGTTTGTTTATAAATGTTCCGTTGTGATTATTAACGTTTAATATATATGTATGTTTAACAGAACACTCAAAACGATTCAGAAAAACAAAACTTTAGCACTCATTCATGCTTCAAGGAATTACAAAGCATTTTAATAAAGCTTTACGTGTAAAGATAAATAAATACACCAGTGTAAAATTAAATCGGGAAATTCGTCAACAAATATGAACTGAAAAAATTGAAGCTTTTATAAATTATCTATGTGACTTTTTTAAGAAATCTACCAGTTAACAATTACAATTTTTTGTAAACTGATATAATTGCAGTAGTGTATTATTTTATGAATTAATGCTTAAAGTCATACTACTGTGTCGTCCTGGTGGCATAAGGGAGTGGAAAAATAAATAATAAAAAAAGAATAATTTACATTTTTTTTTATCTTCGATCTGGTTAAACATGTACGTTGGATATAGTGTTTGCAGTTTTATAATGACAATAAAATATGTTTGTAAAATAGTACAAATCAAATAGCAGACTAATTGTAAATATTTATCATTTTTTTCACATTGAGTTGAATCGAAGAAAAAAACATAAGGGCAACAGAGAAGTTCAGATCATTTACGATTTCAAATAAGAAACATTCAAATTATTTAAGCCGAATTGTAATTGATTCAAATCATTTTAAGTAGAAATCTTTATTCATAAAGATACGATACTCTAATTTCGATGTGAATGTCAATTATATATTATATATCAATATTCCAGAGTCATTAATGAAACGCCCCTATTAGTTGAAATGTCACCGTACCCTGAAGGAGAACAAACAAACCATTGAGGGACAAGTCACGAAGACTAACATGTGATAGAAAAGAAGTTGTACATTCATTGAGACTGTTTCTCAAGAGAACGCCAACCGTTATGGAAACGTCAAGGGTATCCGATCGGCGTGTTGACCCGACGGCTAGCGGCAACGGATAAAAGGAGATTGATAAACCGCACAAGGGCCTTAAGGAGTCACATTGAGTTACAACTCTTGTCCTGGGATATGGCGAAATTCTTTGTCCTATTTAACCTAGCCATTTCCGTGATTGGACGTGTTATTTTCGTTCTGTGGTCCTGGAACTTATTTAGCTTTGAACAGAGATTCGTCTAATTGTACAGTTAGAGGCGAATCTATGGGGAGAGGAGGGGAGCTTTCGGGTCGGAGCCCCCACCGAAATTGGTAAAATATACCCAAGCCTTATGAAAAAATATTGAAAAATTATCTCTAAAATTATTATTCCATTTAATAGGACTTCAAGAATCACTTAAACACAATTTCATATAGGTGTTAGTTTTTTTATTTTTCTTTCAAAGTAATAATCGTTTTATATATATATATATATATATATATATATAAGCCTTCCGACTGAAGGCACACTCCAAAAAAAAAAAATAAATTAAATCGTGAATCAACTACTGTAAACAGTAATATATTTAGTTAGTTATATAAAGATGTTAAACAAATATATTTGCATTTGTTACTGTTATTTCAAAATTAAGAGGATGATAAATACTCAGGATTAATAGTCTGGATATGTTTTATTAGGCAAGCGGACTTTTAGAATTTAGTTTTAATCGAGTTCCGAACTATCGATTTGTTTTTAGAAATATGTATTTCATATTTCGTTATATTTGAAAAATACGTATGCCATAGGTGGAGAAACCTTTTATCACTAGAGGCAATGCTAATGGAGGTCACAACAATTTTGTTTATTTTACTGTACCCATTTTTATTTATCCCGTCCCATCCCACATCCCACATCCCATCCCATCCCACATATATTATTACAGAAAGGCTCGAAATCGGTTTTGTACCAAATATAAGCTCCTGTCATGCTCAAATACCATGAATGGGGTACCGTTGGATTCAGAATTTCACGGGGGGTAAGCGAATCATATTCTCCGCTTTTGTTTTTCTTTCTAAAATAAATAAAGTCGATACAAACATTCTGCTAGACTTCGTTACTGGAACGGTGGTAGGTCTGTAGATCGATACGGGACAAATTGGATCTTGAAGATTTTGATGCGTATAGCAGGACCCGGATAGTTCCTCCGGAACTATTGGATCCTGCGTTTTTAAGCCCAAAAACGTACTATTTTCGAGATAACGCAAGGCATAGGGTTCGCATCCGTACAACCTTACATTAATTGTAGTACTGTCATTGAATACATGCCTCATTTCGTCGACTTGAGGTCTCTATGATCGAGAGAGGAGTTGATATTATTTATCGATTGTGTTTTTGATCGGCAAGCCATATCATCGTTAATTTGTCACCAAATCTCAAGATTGAGCCACCGATTTCGAAGGCTTTCTTTTCCTTCAGGCGGGCAAAATAATCCAATCACCCCGAAAATTTAGGAAAACAAGTTGTGAGAGAAAACAAACTTCATTTGCGAAACACTAAAAAATTACACACCTTTCCCTGGGTCATACCCAAGATTATATAAAAGATTACTAAATTCCCTACAAAAGGAAAAAAAAATCATCGAAATTTTTAGCAAAGACACAGCTTACTGAAATTCGTAAACATGTTGGTTCCAACATTCAACGTTCATTTTTCCAAACAATAATGAAGATTTAAATTAGTTTTTGTTTCCTTTGTCGATTATATTTATCGATAAAGTAACGTTTGATGTCTTTATCTTTTGATATGTTGAATTATTTTTTTTTCTTATTAATTTGGTATATTGATTGATGTGTGAATTTTTCGCACGGGCCTACTGGTTCCTAATTACACATACATAACATACATACATATACACTACTGTAATTACTGAATTATATTAATTTTCAAATTTTATATAAACTATATAATTATATATTAATTAGTCTGAATATTACTCTGAATAAATAAATATGTTAAGAAGGCCACATGCGGCCTTCAGGCTGCAGG